ACCAGACTGCTAGTATCTCAAATTTTCTGAATTTAAAAAACATCCTCAAGGATCCAGGCCTTTTCCTGCATGAATGAATGTTAATAACCACAGAATCATCTAACTTAGACTATTTCCCATTTAACAACTTGATCTCTTTCAATTAATATCAGCAATCTGCCTTGAAAACTGTGAACCATAAATTTACAGTGATTCAGGGAAATAGGCTCTAGTCTATTTGTGCTATTAACATCCAGAGTAGCTCTGTGATCATTCATTTATTACTAGTTAGGATAGCTGAAGCAGGCAGCTGTGTCAAAGGTGAAAAATGGGCAGTTTATGCCTTACACTGCTACTTCTGCATTCCCAGAAAACACAGAGTTCAAATCAGCCAGCCCCAGCTGTGTTCCCTGACTTCCCCTTCCCAGCCCTAGCAGTGCTACTGGACCAGGTTAAGCCATCATTTCTTTTACAGCTGATTTTCTTTTGTTTAGGAGCACACTTTCCTCACACACTCACCATGAACAAGGACAAACAGGTTTTCTTCAGCCGTTTTTTTTTTTTCATCCAGTTTAAATTTGCCCAAAAAGCTTTCCCCAGGGATGTTAGCCACAGAACTACAGACAAACCCGCCCTCTGGCACAAGAACAGCTTTCTTTCTGAAACTCTGCTTCCCTTTGCTGAACTTTCTTTCTCCCTTCTTTCTCTGGAAACAGTCTGTCCCAGCAGAAGAATGACATGCTTAGCATAAACTGCACTTCCCCAAGGGGTGGATACAGTCACCTGGCTGGTTAGCTCTAAGAGCTATCTATCCTGCACATGCAACCCATAGCAGGAAATGGGAATACAGGTCCAATGTCAACTGCCAAGCTCTAACAACTGCAAACATTTTTTCCCAGCACCACCAGGATCAGGAACTTGGAAAGGTGAAGACAAAAAGACATGTGGTAAAGACAAAAAAGGGCAGGCTAAAGCTCTGAGTTGTCAGGACATCAACATAGGTCTTCAGAAGCGTTCCCAAAACTGGAATCCAGCTGTTAATGCTTTAGAAATCAAACTACCCTGTGTAAGATATTGATACTTAGCAAGATACATACTTCTTTCTAGCATCCATATCCATGGAGCAAAGCTCTTAGGGCTTCTTTGGGCTCAGTTCAGTGTTGACCAGAACTTCTTACTGCTCTAACTGTACTGCCTCCACTACCTCACGTACATGTTCATGCTTCCTTTCTGCTGATCTATCCTCCAACACTTGACAAACCAGACAGAACAAGGGCAGTTGCAGAATTGAGTGCCAATGTTCATGTTCCAAATGCAAGAGAAAATGAATAAGTGACACCAAATCCAATAGCTAGCTCAAAGCACTAAGGGAACCCAGCTGAATTAACAAATATCAGCACTTGCTGACTCAGAGAAAAAGCAGCAATTTTTCTACAACAATTGCTTTTGTGTCATGGCAAAAAAATGCAAGCCAGGCTCAAATGCTAGGATGTTGAAAGGTGGTAAAGAGAGATGAAAGAGAACTTTACCAAATGGAAACACAGCTGGAAGACCTGGATACAAACATGAGCCTACCAGCTTGCTGAACAATCTTCTATCATTCACATACTGCTTTGAATAATTACCCTGCATAAACACCACAGTTACTCTTCCTTACTAAGAGTTTCAGCCTAGAAAAGTTGGTTTGGGCAACCAGGTAAGAAATACACAGTCACTCTGCAGTGAAGTTTGCCCATGATCTGTTACAGCTGCAGCAGCAAGGACAAAAGCTGTCAAATATGACAAGGAAAATTGTTTTGAGTCTGCTCAACACTGCTCTTCATTAACACCTGTGTATGTTCCCATCACATGTGGCCCTGTCTTGAAGGAAGCTTTGAAAGGCCTGAAGTCCCTCTCAGCTGCACATGTAGAGAGAGAGCAGAGATCCAGAGATGACATGTACCATGCATGGAAATATGGATGCAGCACAAGTCTGCTTCAAGTGGCATGAGGAAAACCCTGAGGACAAGGGTATAGTCAAGGCCCTCCTTCAGAATTCTTTGGGTAAGCCTTCCTTTGAGCCCCCAGCCTGAGGGGACACTGTCCCATTAGTAAGTTATCTGTTCTTTCCTTCAACATGAGTAGAAAAAAAACTTCCATAAGTAAAGCCCACATCAATAAATTAGGAAAGAGGATAAGGAAAAAGACTGGCCCATAAAGCTCACCTGACCTAATCCTTACACTTGTATCAGCTTCTGCCAGCCAAAGAACAGATGAAGTTCACTTACCATTCAGACATAATCTACTTAGTACTGTGCAACATGCTGAAAATAATAATACACGTATTTTTTAAAAAGTCGATGCCATACGCTACCAAAATGCATCCGTTAAATAGACAAAGAATCCAAAAATCAGGAGATGCCAACAGCTACTGAAAACTCATAACCAAGGGGGGAAGTTGCCCCTGTACCAAACTCCATTCACTATTTTTGTTGATGATCTAGCAGAAGGCAAAACCAGTACTGCTAAAGATAGTGGACTGGTAAATAACACAGCAGACAAGGCAGAGGGACAGTAATCCTGGCGGGTCAGTGCACAGCCAATGCAAACAGCATTGCAGTCATTCAACAAAATGCAAAGTCAGACACCTTTCCTCACAACAGGCAGGTCACATTGGGTATGGACAAGGATTTAGAAGTGGGAACATACAGGCACTTAACACTTGTTTCTAGTGCCACACTATGACCAAATGGAATCACTCTTTTGACCTACAAACTAAGAGAAGGCACCCCTCATGGGGCAATGGTGTTTTTTTACAGATTCCTTAAGGCACTTGAGACAGCACAAGAAGGGCAAAGCTGTATGCCACTCCTAAGAGACTTTAAAAGCTAGTTAAGAAAAAGCAGTCTCTTGGGACTTGGCATAAATGTGCTTTGCACTTATCCATGTCTTAACAAAAAAAATTAAAGTTTGCAGACAAAGATGGTATTAAAAACTCCTAGTATGGGTCATTGGTATGGTCAACAGTGGGACTCCCACGTGGTTGGGGTGTATGGATTTTACAAGGCAATACAGAAACTGGAAAGGGTACATAGAACCACAGAAACTACTAAAAGAGAGAAAGTATCCTACACATTAAATCTGAAAGGGCTCAGCTGGCTTCATTTCTTAAAAATAATGTGAGAGGTAAGGCAATTACAACACATAAATCCCCTCAAAGGGAGGGACTATCAGTTATTAGAGGCCTCTTTAATCTAGCACTGAATAACCTAACAAACCAGTTGCTGGAACCTAAAGGCAAACTGAAAGCAAGACACCTCTCCCTCCCACACACTCCTTTCTAGTTTGTGTTAATTAAAAAGTGCCAGAAGTAGTGCATCTACCAATCTTCAGATCAAGTTTGGCTGCTCTTTCTCACTGTTATGCCCTAGTAAAATATATATTATTAGCACATACAATTCTGAAGACTGAGACACAAACGCCTAGAATCTACAGAAAGTCACACTAGACAGATTTGTCTTTAAATTATGGACATGAAAATCCATTTTTCAGCAGATCAGCACACTCACAATACATTTGAGGTGGTGGATGAGAATAGGAGAGAAACATGGATTTTTAAAACATGGGTATTTAAGAGTTTCAGCAGCCCTCAGTATTAATGGCAAATGAGTTCTTAAACAAAAAAACCCCCATAAACTAGAGTTAGGATGCTTTTTGTTTGTCTTCAGGATTTCACCTTATCTTTTTTCAAAAACCCGGAGATTTAAGTTGTAACAAAAGGTAACACTCTCTCTGATCACCTCTATTTACAAGTTGTCCTCACTGGATTTTTTAAGAATTTCCTTCTTCTACAATAACAGAAAATATAAATACAGCATCTGGTGCAAAGATGAAACTCAAGGCTTCAGAAACCACATGGTGGAAAATGCTTTGGAAAACATGGAAAGGTTAGGTGAGACAGTCCAGCTGCTGAAAGTAGCATGAGCCAGAGTTCACAGGAGAGTTTGGGACTGAGGCATTTTCCACTTGGGTTTTGTCAATAAATGGGACAAGAGGTGGCATTGGAAAAAGGATTGTTTGGTACCAGGCAGGTACACAAAGGTGTTACTCACTTTTAGACTGGGTGTTTAAATCCTGAGTAAAAACTACTACCCAGACTTCTGAAGCAGCTACTCACTGGCAGTTCAATAATTGTGAGCACTATGCACCAGAAGGGCCTTTTCTCTTTTAATAAGCCATGTCAATTATCTGAGCATTGGATATAACCCTACCCCTACCTATTAAACTGCCTGCAATATAGATGGAAATCATGTCTGAACAATATCAAAGTCCCAAAGCTGAAAGGTTAAACAAACAAACAAAAAATCCCAAAGGTTTTGCTTTCTCTTACTTCAATGGGAAATGACTGGAACTAACCATTACCTTTCACAAATTCTCATCCTCCTGCCGTGTTCCACATACTCCTTCTCATCACAGAAACTTAATTCAGGCAAAGGCCAACATGATAGGCCATTTTCTTAATGTCTGCATCTTTATTCTGAAAGCTGTGATACAACAGCATCAATTTCTAATCATCCATCTTAATACACACGTGCTGCACATGGACACCACAGCCAAATATTCAGAGCAGGTCACAAACAAGTTGGTTCATGCTGTACCTGCAAAGATCTGTCTACACAGCAGCCCTTCTGCTATCAGGCACAACTGGTTTGCAGGCCAAGGCAAGTCACTGCATGCCCTAGCCCAGGCCAGTCAGTATCAATATTGTTCCCAAAGTCCCCTAAGAACTTGGGACATAATTCCTCCAGTTTCCTCTTTCCCTTACACCAGAGCAGTCTATAAGCCAAAGCAAGATTGCACGTGATCCAAGTGCTCTGAAACACTGAGGTGATTTAGGAATGCCATGCTCAACAGCATAACCACTTTTATCTCCAGCAAACAGCAGGAACACAGCCCTGAGCAAACACAACCGTTTCAAATACATCAGCAATGTCCTACAAGAGTAATAGGGAATAGAGATAAGTAAAGCACCAAGACACTAGTTTTTCTTTGAAAACATATATTGCATATGTGATTTCTTTTTTGGCATCATACAGACCAGACCATGCATTTTGCTTTTCTTTTACAAAAACAACAAAACACATTGATTTATTGGAGACAAGAGAAACAGGTCTTACCCAGAGAGCTCCTATCAGCTGGGGCATTTAAAACTATTCAAATCACAGTGAGGAGATGAGACCCTGCAGGTAAATTCAGCCAAATACTTTCCCAAGGAGGGTCTCTTCCCTCTGGTTTTACCTGCTAAGCTTTACCCTGGCTTAAAGCTGATAGCCTGTCTCCTGAACATCACATAACTCTTCACAAATAAGCAAAAACCTGGACAATCCCAGCCTGCTGTCAGCTTCTCCCTTTCAATAATCATAAGATTCTCCTGACTGCAGAAAACAAGTGAGCTGCTATGGAAAACTTTAGCTGAAGTGCAAAAAATAACCCCCAAAACCTCTAACCTGAGAGATGCAGGCTTCAACCCACTCGATGAATGGAGGAACTACTGCTTCACTACTAATTTAAAGACTCTTCTGCAGCTTCAGCATGCCCGAATCTCTTGTACCACTTATCCTTGCGATTCAGCTGTCTGCTTGTCTCTCTCCAGTATGCTAGCATTTTGTGGAAAGCTTTCTCTTACAACCCTGACCCAAAAATGAGCAAAACATTTTGACAATCAAAATCTTCTTCTAGCAGCAGGCTACCTTCTATCTTTCCACAACAGGCAAAATAACTCACCAATACTGCATACTGCTGTTAAATCAGCAGCTACACTGAAGATTTTACCGGCAAAACCACGGATCAGAGTTTACATATTTAAGGCATTTATTTAGCAACAACCAACAAAACTTCAATGGGAAAAATAATATACCCTTTGCATTGCTTGTTTTTATTCATGGTTTGAACAGAATTCATTAGATTCAAGAAAAAATTCTCTGGAAACAAGGCAAAGCATCTAGAAAATGTTTTTGATTTAAAACCATCCCAACTCCCACTCCCTTTAACCAAAAGTTAATTCTTAAAAGGTGGAATAGATGAGTGTGTTTGAAAGTTCATGGTGCAAAACAGAGGAGGATGGCAAAACTTCCTCAGATTTGTCAAAAAATACAGCTATCCCACTCTTTACATAAACACAGTCCTCTCCCTTCCCTTTCTTCTCTCTGTTTCTATCCACCCTGCGAGAAAATCAATGTATACAAACATCAGCAGCAACTTTGATGATAGGCAATGATCCTTTTTGGCATCAGTCTGTGACAAGATTGTTGATTCTCTGTGTTTAAATTACATCATAGCTGTGTAAAACACGCAGTGATTTCCCAGACGTGAACTCTTCACATCCGCTGTCGGTACCGCAGCAAGATCCAGACTGCTGTCACAGCAAGCGCCAGGCCTGGCACAAGAATGGCTGCCAGAGGAAGCCCTCCTGAGTCTCCATCTCCTCGATGACTCACAGGGCCATTCTGTGGCTGCAACTACAAGGATAAAAGATATTTATGTCAGAAACCATAATAAGAGAGCCCCCAGTTCTGGGTCTGGACCAGGTGGTTCTGTAAGAATGTTCAAAATAGTTTCCCCAGGTACCTGAAGACTCCACACATGGGAGGGTTAAAACAGCTTAGGATGGACTAAATTCAAATGCAGGATGCCCAGTCACTACCAGGCACCTTCATGTTTCTCTGCCACTTTCCAAACTAGGACTCAAGGGGAGCAGGACACACCTCATGGAGCAGAAAAAATCACACAGAAATACCCAGCCCCCCCCTTGATGCACTTGCCACCATACCATATCCTGCTCTCTTTACCAGGAAAAAGACATCAACAATTCTCTCTGGTTTTCTTACCTGCCTTATACAGTGGTCCAGAAGACTTACTCCTTTGTTAAGGGAGTAGAAAAGGGATCTCAAGCCACCTCACCCCACCAACATGCTTTGGGTAGATCAGCATTTCTTTTGTCAGCTTCTATGCTAGCTGGGGATTAAGGGTTCATCTCTTTTTACATCTAAAATGGTGCCAGTATATTTAAACTATAGTAGTCCATATTTCCTATTATTGTAAAATCATTTATGTTGGAAAGACCTCTAAGATTATGAAATCCAACCGTTAACCGAGCACTGCCAAGTTTGCCATAAAACTAAGCACCACATCTGATCATTTTTTAAATGCCTTCAGGGATGGTGACTCAACCACTTCCCTCAGCAGCCTGTTCCACTGCTTGACAACCTTTTCAGTAAAGAAATTCCTAATACCCAACCTAAACTTCCCCTGCTGCAACTTGAGGATGTCTCCATTTGTCCTGTCACTTGTTGCCTGGGAGAAGAGGCCAACTCTCACCTGGCTACAGCCTCCTCTCAGGCACCTGTGGAGAGCAGTAAGGTCTTCCCTAAGCCTCCTTTTCTCCAGGCTAAACACCCCCAGCTACTCATCAGACTTGTGCTTCAGACCCTTTATTATCCTTCTCTGGACATGTTCCAGCACCTCAATGTCTGGCTTGTAGGACTGGGCTGCACACACATTTCATCACTAATATAGTCTCTGAAACAAAAGGAGTTCTGTTCCCAGTAAGATTTTGGCCACTGAAATAAAACTGAGCAGCTTGAGATTCTGTCTTCACACACAAACCTATACCTCTGAGAAAGGAGATCAGCGAGTAAACACAACACACTCCAGCAAAAGAAGATCTCAGAACATCTCCAAACTCACCTTTTCACTGATACAAACGTTACAGTGGTTACAAAGTAATTCAGAGACAATTACAGCTAAGGCAATGAGAGACGGTCAATAGGTCAACCAAAATTGTTACATGCAGGTAACACGCTGAGCACCTGGACACAGTACTCTTCTTCCTCATGAAATAGCCACCAATCATAGAAACCAGTCTAACCTGAGCCAGAAATAATCCTAAGAAACAGGTAAAACATACCCTGCGCTGGATTTTCAGAGACACGTGATAGCCCGCATTCCTGAACAGTTCCACAGCATCCTTGTGCCGCAAATCCTTCAAGTCTTTGCCATTGATCTAGAAAAAATGAAAAGGACAGCCAGATACTGAAGGTAAAAAATGCAAATTTTTAATGATGCAGGCTAGCATAGAAAGGATAAGACATCAAAATCTTCATGTTTCACAAAATTCTGCATTTGGGACATGACACTATAATAATAAAGATCCTAATTAATTAATTAATATTATGATGTATTTTTATGTGTTGAGACAGAACATGAGAAATTCCAAGCAAAAGCATAGAGGTACTGAAAAAAACTACCTAGAAGCAAAATAAGAATAGAAGGCCACAGTTGTGTCAATAGAAGCTTCTGATGCTGTTGCTTTACTGGAAACAAATCAAAGGTGTGACTCTAACAGCTAATGAACATAATAGAGCAGCTACAGCAAAATTATTTTGAGTCTCTTCCCTTGTTTCCTCTACTGGTGTACCTTTGAAACTTCTCTATTTGAGAGACTGTTGTAAACACACTTTTATAAGCACACTGATGTAGCAAAACCAAACAAAAAAAATTACTTGCATACTTATTGGCATCCACTTGCAAGTGTTAGGATTTTTCTTAATTTAAAATAATATGTAATGGCACAGGGTTTTATAACCAACTTGATTTCATTCACTGAGTAAATTCATCCTAATTTTTTATTTTCATCCCCATTACCCCCAGTTGTATCCCCTAAGATCACATCCAGTGCCTCCCTTCTCTTTATATTTAGACACCTCAAACACAAGTACGTAAAGATTAAATTGTCAAGGAAAAAGAATATTCTCTGTTTAACTTAATATCACTTTCTGGATCAATAATAAGCTCCAATTAGTGCAAGGAAGTCTACAGAGGCTAAAAAGATCACATGTGGAACATGATAAGCAAGTGTAAAATAAAATTAGGGAGTACAAAAAGGTTGTGTATCATACTAGAGAGGCTACTTCTTCACCCACACTTTGTAAATCTTGTTTCTTGCACGATTGCCAGCTATCTGAAGAACCAGTGGGTGTGAACATCAGACACTTGAAAACAATTTTCAAAAAGGAGAAGCAGCCTATGCTATTCTTGAGGAGCTGAAACAAAGAGAAGAATATTACGGCCTAGAAGTTTTATAGTTTAAAAATCCCCCTATGCAAAAGGATCAGAAATCATGGATTACCAGTCAAAAAATGGAAACTGAAGAGGTGGAAGACCTTTATTTACATATGTGTAAGTGATAATCCATTGTGAGCAAGAGAAGGTCTGATGGACTCTAAAGCCTTAAGGAGGCAAGTCACAGAGGAAACACAAGCAGAGCACTTCTGTGGCAAATCAAGAAGGCAGAAGAGATAAGCCCATGTGTAGAGGCACTCACCTCCCTAGTGCTCAGAGCTCTCCCCAGATCCTCAAGACAACTCCTCCATGAAGTTTGCTTGGGACCACCTAATTCATTCACCACATCCCTCCTCTTTATGCACTGTGATGGAAAACCTGCCTCTCACATGACATCACTGATCAGCAGCACAGGGGACAACAGAAGAAAGGGCTTACCGCTAAAATTTTATCTCCTTCTTGTAATCGGCCATCAAGGTAAGCTGCCCCATCCTTTTTGATCCAGCTGACATAGATGCTGCTGTCATTGGCAACATACTGCTGATCTGTCCCACCAACAATGTTGAAGCCCAACCCTAAGGTAAGCCAAAGAGAAAGCTGATGAGAAAAAGCTCAAAGCTTCAAACATTCTTGCTCTCTTGCTTTTTGGGGACTGCACCCTCCCACGTGGTCTTGCTGCCTCCACCATACAAAAACTCACAGCGTGCAGATCTGCATCATCCTTTCCAACCACCTTTCCATTGTCTAGAAAAGCCATTCTAATGAAACTGGTCTTGAATGCAGAGGGGAGACACTAAATGCCTGAGGACCCCAGAGGCTTCATTGCACAAAACATCTGTGAGCTGTTTGGGGTGGGTGCTGGGGAATACTGAGGGGCATTGATTCAGCCCTCAGCAGGAATACACTTCTTCAGCACAACATGCAAGAAATGAAAGTATTCTGCATTTCACATGAGGTTATAGTAAATCACTACCTTTGAGCTACAAGAAATCACCTCTGACTAGCATTCTGTGAGCTAGGAAACAAGGTAAGCAAAGGCGAGGAGCATTAGACCCTGTTAGAGATGAGGAAACAGGCAAGGAGAGCTGTGCTACCAGCTTGAGGGCACCTGGAGCTCAGAAGGCTCCCATTCCACATCTCAGGAGCTGAAATGGTGTGCTTTGCCTCCAGGAATAAGATTAGGCTACATGAAGCTACTTCAATTGTACACAATCACTTTGTTCTGTTTCATGAATTCACACATGATAAGAAATAAAGACAAAGTTTGCAGATTTAATGCAAAACAAAAAGGAATACACATGCATTTATTAGAACTGATGTCCACATTTTTGCCATTTTGTATTATTCTTTAATGGAAGCCTCAGTTACAGATATCTAGCTGGATCCAGCTTCTGGATTAAAGTTAAGACTTCTTGTTTCATTGAAACTCAGAAGAACAAATTAAATTTGAAGTCTGGAAACCTCAAGATTGTGAGAGCACACTCCCCACTGTACATGAAGCTAAGTTTCTCTCTAAATAAAAATGCATGACAACGGACAGGAAAGATTCCCTAAGAGGCTTGCAATGAAAAAAGAAAGAAAAGCCAAGGAAAAAGAAAAAAAAAATCAAATATGCAATCAAAGTAAAAGGAAAAAACCTCATTTTTTTTTTTCTGACATAAACCAGTCATCCAAAAGCTATTGTCAAGAACAGCTGAGGGCAAGTTCTGCCCACGTTCAGCCACACTAATTTATTTGTTTTCGTTTTCTTTCTTATTTTCTCTCTAAGTTGGGACTGGAAACCTTGGGAAGGAGAGTTTCAAATGAAAGTAAAACCACCTTATGCCTGCTGGGAAGCAGCATTTTAAATTAGTCACAGGAGATCAAAGCATTTACAAAATGAGTCATGGTATTTTAAGTGTGCATCTACAGCTGGGAAGTAAAGGAATATTAGCAGCAATTTTACCATATCTTTTTTTCCCCTTCCCTTCCTGGCAGCTTCAGACAAGTGAGGAAAAAAATGAAAACGAGAAAAAATTGAAGAACTGACATTTCAACTAGAATAATATCTGTTCCAAGAAGGGCCAGTTGTGCACAGTAATACACCTTTCAGTAGAAAATGAAAAGAAAAAAATTAAAAATCCACACTCCTAAAAATAATTTGCCAAAAAGGCAATAAGTTCTGAGGGGGCGAAATCAATACTACAGAAAGTATAAGGTTTCATCAACACTTATTAAAAAGCCAGAAAGAAGGAATCAGGAACTCAGAACTCATTGATTCTCTCTCATATATAAAACCCCTAAAATAGCTATAAATATATATGAAAAAAGTATGCATTTTGCAACTTTTTTTTTACCCATGAATGGAAAAATAATCGAGTCACAGCTTTCATCAGCAGAGGCAGATCTTCGTGACAAAGAGGCAGCAGTTCGTGCTAGACCAAGTTAAGTATACACAGGGCTTTTTCAGTGTCTTTCCAGCATTCAGACTTCCACTCTGCCTAAAAATATCTCCCCTGTCAATCCTCAAGCTCTTTGCTATTCTCTCCCTTCCAGTTCATGCAGCCACAGAAAGAGACACAGCACAGCTGGAAGAAAAGGAGCAAGGGGAGAGAGCACATACATTAAATCTCTTGTCTATGAGGGACCAGAAGCAGAAAAGCACAGCTTTAAAAGCAAGCTCTGGGCTAAAGTTCTGACTCTCCCTGAGGATGCAGACCTCCTATGCCTCACTTACCCCCCTGAACCAAAAAAGTCCTGCAAAAACACCTTAAAAAAAATCAGGACTGGCAGGATTAGGAAACGAGAGACTGAATACAAGAAAATTTGAAAAAGACAAATATACACTGTCCTGCCACCAGAAATAGTCACAAGCTTTTGACAGAGATGTTCAACATCAAACGTATTTTAAAAGTTGCAGTCAAAACTCCAATTCAAGAGATTACAGTATCCAATTGTACTTCGTAAGTAAGTGTTTTGTTCCTTCCACAGAAATGAGTAATAATTCACAAGGCTAGTACATCAAGGCCGTAAGGGGCTGTAGGACCTTCAAATCAAGTAATGTAGTTAGAAACCTAAATCTAAAGATGAACAGCCCATCTCAATGACTGGACAAATGCTGCTCATGGTAATCGAGACTGCAATCGCAGTGGTCACATTCAAGACCATTCTCAACATTGCCCTTTAACATTCCCTTACACATTCCTTAAAATTTCAGCTCCCCGGATGTATGGAAACAGCCTTCCCATCAGAACCAGCTTCATTTGGCACAGTTTTCCCTGACAAGCACAGCTTCATTAGCTTAAGCTCATGGTTATGCAGGTAGGGCTACACGGTTGTCAGAGCAGAGGCCAATCTGCTGAGCAGGGGAGGCAAGGGCTGCTCCCCGGGCTCACATCCTCTGGGTTCTGATCCACCAGCACGAGGGCCGGGACCACCAGCAGCCCTGCACGGGCCCCACCTCCACCCCAGAGAAACACACACACCAACAAGGTGGGTGCTGGGGTCTCAGGGGAGCCCCTGCAGCACGGCTGGCCAGCAGCCGCACCCTGCAGTTGTGCAGAACAGAAGGGCTGCCACGTTTTTCTTCCTACTCGTTTTAATTAAAGAGAAAGCCTCACACAGCAAAGTACAACTCTAGCTCCAAAAGCCCTCCTGGAGTCTGCCATTCTCTATAGCCAGGATTTTGCTCCAGAGCTGTACATTTCGTGCCAACTTGCCTCACTTCTGAAAGTGTGATTTGAATGGCATCCTAAATCCTGTAAAAACGTAAGGTTTCTATGAGCGCACCTGCTGTTGAGACATGAAAAGCAAAGCCAAAAAATACCCCAAGAACTGTCCTACTCCCTCTTCCTTCCAGCCTATGCTCCTCTCTGCCACCACCCTAAAGCCTCTCCAGGTATGCTGCACAATGAACGCCAAGCTGACAGTACAGGGGACCGCCGCTTGGGCACATGATTTCCAAATGGCCCCTGACCCACGGTATCCAACGCGGCTGGGCGCTCAGCGGCTGCCGCCTCACTGGGAAGCGACAGCTCCACCGGAGATGGCAACTTCCTGGCAAAACCGGAGGCGACTTTTCCGCAGGGACACCGGGGCTCCCGCAGAGGACGGACCCTCACCCAGCCAGCTTTCCCTCACGCAGGGCACGAGCTTTTCCCGCAGCAGCGTATCCGCCACGGCTATTTCCAGAGGGAGGCCCCTGGGCGCCGCGCTTCCGTCCTCGCCGCCGGGACCCTTCCCCCGCCGCCCGCCACGGCCGCCCCGCCGCCCGCCGCCACCCCGCGCTTCCGCTCCGGCCTCCCCGGGGGCTGCGCGGCCTCGGCGCGGCTGCCCCGGCGCGGAGAGGCGGCCCCCGCCTTACCTGAGGGTCTGCGGGTGAGGCTGATGATCTCCTCGGCGTAGCCGCCGCCCGCCACGCTGCCGTTCATGCTGCGGCCTGACGGGGAACTCGGCTCCCGCGGCAGCCGCTCTCGTCTCCTCGGCCGCCGCCGGGCCGCGCCGCGGAGCGCTGGGAGCTGGGATTTGTAGTCCCCACGGGACGGGGCTGCTCCCACCGGCGCTCACCGCAGAGGCGGAAGAGCAGCGGGCCCAGAGGAACCCAGCACAGCGTCCTCCTGCCCCCGCACCTCCCCTGCCCCCTGCGCGGCAGCTGTGCCTGGCCCTGCCCTCTCCCCAGACTGGTTTCCTTAGGAAAGTTAAGGAGTAGGCCATAGTTGTCCGGGGTAGGCGTAGGAGAGAGGAAGGGAGATGTATTACCTGTTCCCATCCCTTTTAACTATCTTCACAGCAAACTGAAAAACAGATCACACCGTGCTGGGCAGGAGCAAAAGCCCAATCCAGGCAAGTAGCTCAGAGAGCATCCATGCCAATTGCCGAGTTATCCTGCAGAGTAGTAAAGTGATTTAGATTCAGAAACACAAACGGTGTACAGAACCACCGTGCCGCTGCTGGGACAAGAAATACTTAACTAGGTCCTAGGTATTAAGAAATACTTAACTAGGTAGAAGGTGTTTGGTTTGAAGATTTGAGGAATTTCCTCAGAACTCTATAGAACAGACAATTACCTAGTAATAAAGGGCAAAGTAGTTCAACTTGCTATGTAACAGAACAGCCACTTGAACTTGGGACTCTCTACGTCAGGGTTTATTGAACCAGTAGATTAATGGGAAATAGCAAGGAAAAATTTATCCTTATCTATTTCAGCACTTGCTACAAGTGTGTCAATACAGATAATAATAACAGGGAAGAATGAAGAGGTCTGATTGAGTTGAACTACCTGACTGCTTGGCACTATGAGGACAGCCACATCTACATGCTGCAGGAACTTCTCTGATGAAAATGAGGACCAGCTTATCTGGTCTTCAATATTACCACCACCATTCTGTTTGGTATTGCAGTAAAGATAACAGATGTTTTTGACTGCATTCATTCCAAGATTATCTGCACTTTTGGATTCCTGAATTTTATAGGGAGAGATAACCTGGGCACTGGATCTCTGACTCCTACAACGTTAACACTTAATGCTAAACTGAGTGTTAGAACACCTGCCTCAGAGGTGGGAGACAGGCGTTCAAGGTCCAATTACACTTGCAACGATGAGCAAAACCATGATTCTTGTGATAGTCACAGCTGATCGTTTTTATTGTTGCTAACTACCATTCACCCTAAGTTCAGGACTTTTCAGTGTCTCATACTCTGCCAGTGAGGAGGTGCACAAAAGCTGGGAGGGAGCATGACCAGGACAGGTGACGTAAACTGGACAAAGGGGTATTCCATACCATAGAATGTCATGTCCATTATATAAGCTGGGGAAGTTATATGTAAGGAGGCCAAACATGTTCTGGGTATCAGGCAGCATGTGGTACACACACAATTGTACTGTGCATCACTTGTTTCTCTTGGGTTCTGTTATTCTCTACTCTATATTATTATTATTATTATTATTATTATTATTACTATATTTTAGTTGTTTCAATTATTAAACTGTTTTTATCTCAACCCACAAGGTTTACCTTTTCTTTCTGAATCTCTTTCCCACTGGGAGGGGTGGGAGGAGAGCGAGTAAGCAGCTGCAAGGTACTTGGTAAACTCCTTCAAGATACACAGTGTTCCTTAGCAGCAATTTAATGTATTTTAGAAATGACAGTCTTGGCTTACAACAAAACGAATTTTATCTTGATCTGAGATAACTGCTATATTAAGTGTTTTTAAGTTTTCTTTAGCCAGGAAGAGATTTCAAACAAGAAACACGAGTATATTGTAACTTACTCCTAGGCAGCTCTAGGCTTCACCTATCACAAGTGGCCTGCCACATTAACAGCTACCTAAGACTTAACATCCTCACTGCACTGGCACAGGCCATTTCACAGAATCAGAGAATGGCTTGGTTTGGAAGGGACATTTGAAATCATCTAGCTCCAAACCTCCCTGCGATGGGGCTCCACTAGTCCAGGTTGTGTCTTCTTATTTCCTCCAGCACCATTTCACGTACTACAGTGACCCACATCTCTTGGGAGATGTTGCGGCAACATTTCCAAATTGCCTCTTCGTGTACAAGTGACTTGTATACTAACCAAGTTCTCTCATCCATTTAAAGCATTTTAAAATGCAGTTAGAAGGAGGAGAAAAAAAGGGGAACCAGAAAGATGAGGACTGAACTTAGAGTTGCACCTTCATAGCACCTTCAGAGAAGTGGCACATTTCTAACAAAACACCAGAAACATCAAGTTTTTCATTGCTATGTTGAAGTCAGAAACAGCAATATTTTCAAGGAGAAGACCCCAGAAAAGGAACTCATACATTTTATAAAGCATAGATTAGGTTTGTTGAGATAAACGTTTGTCTTGTTCATATGGCCCAAGAAGCAATGGGAGGAAAGAGTACAGAAATACTCCTATCCAAAGCTCACTGAAAGCCTCCTCCTAATTAAGTCCTGTTTTTTCAGATCAATCTTTAAGCATAGAGAAAAGCAGAAACTACATTTTATTACTTTATCTTTCCCGAAACTGCATTTGCAAGTAAGCTTTCTAGCCTAAATTGTGCTTTCATTTGCACCTCTGTCTCTTCACTATGCAGGTCTGTAAACAAGAACTCCCAGACTTTGATGTTTCTCTGTCTCGGCATAGCTCTGTACTTGGCAATTTATAGTATCCTATTGATCAACAATGGCAGGCCATCAAGGTGGCAACCTGAAACTTCTGCCACTCCTTATGTATTTAAAAAGCAAAATTTTAAAAGTCTTAGTAGGTACTAGTTGTGCATAAATAGTTGGAAGGTGCTGGGTGTAGTGCTTTTGTTACTTTTTATCTCCATCTCTCAATTAATCCACATCTCCCTTGTCTGTCTCTCATCCCTTGTTTGCAATACGTGAATTCCAATTGTTATTTCTCAGAGGACACCCCTCCCACTCCCTCAACCCCCCGAAGAAGGTCTCTGGAGGAATAAATCTGTGGTGTTAGTCAAGAGGCAGTTACCGTGCCTTTTGACATAAATGCAGGATTAAGTTTTCATCATCTAATCAAAACCATCCATGTTCTATCACGACAATAAGCACAGCCTAGACAAACAATGTGTTACCTCATTTCTGCAGACAGCATAGATAACTATTTAAGGACCCATTTGCTCTAGACAAAAAGCTATGA